TTATAGATTCATGTTAAAGGCGTACGTAACTTTACATGTATATTTGTTGTAGAGGATCATACACGTCACATAAGATTCACATAAGTGGCTCATAATCATATCAAACTCTAGCCAGTTATGTTGATCCCTGGAAACTCCCGTTCTCTCCCTCTTGTGGGAGAAGTTAGATCATGTGGATTGATTGGTAGAAATAGTGAGATTTATAATTTTGTATTAAGTAATTATTTCTTTTTTAGAAATTACAAAAAAAAAAAAAAAATTCCCTTTATTGAATTTTTAATTTCTTTAAATCACATCATTTTAAATTTTTTTTTACCACTTATTTTCATAATAATAAAATTTTAAAAAAAAAAATTGTGAAAAAACTATCAACCAGAGTTTAGGCAAGGTTGATCTGCATGTTACCATACGGTTTTGTCAAATTTTCAATTCAGTGCAAATTAAAATTCACATAAGACTTCAATTTTATAAAAATCTATGAAATATCGGGGAATAATAAAAATAGAGGGGGGATGTTCTATAAATATATTCTTTCATAATCTTTAGAAAAATGCTTGGTGACTGGAATTTGTGTGGTCTGAATGACTCGAATGTGTCAAAACGATATCGTTTTACACAAAAAATAACATCGTTTTGAGACATTCGAACTATTCAAGCCAAGAAAATTTAGGCCACCTAACATTATTGTAATCTTTATTATATATGTGTAATGTTAATCATTGTTGATATGGGTAAAAGTCAACGAAAGGTGACATTAATTATTGAAGTCGTTATTTGCAATCTATTTTGATTTAAATATACTTTTATTTTTATTTTTTATCTTTATTATGCATTATTACATTAATATTCTTTCACACAAAATATATTTTCTAAAGAAATTAAAATTTTAAAAGTATTAATGTAACTATATATAATGTAATGCCCTCAAAAAAATAGATAAAACCCATCTCATTAGACATGCATTGAGATAAAATAAACTAACTATTTCTATTTATCAGAGTAATTCTACAACTGTATTACATGTTAACAACAAAAGCAAATGCCCTATGGGCTTATAGCTTTCCAAGTTAATACTTGGTTACAAAAAGGAAGAGTACTAACTCAATACATATTAAGCCCTTGGCTTGAATTTACATGTAATACATCAAGATAAACAAAAAAAAAAGAGTCTTCAACTCTCATCATCGTCCAAGCTATGTCCTTGGAGGTGGCATACCACCTGTACCTAAAAATAATGTCCCATAAAGGGTGAGCCAACGTCCAGTAGAGATATGCTAAACACAGTATGAGCAATAACTAAGACATTAGCAATTGATAAATGCTCAATTTTCATAAACCAATTCATAATCCATTTCCGTTTCATTTCAGTTTTCATTTCTTATCAGTTTCACAATTCTTAACAACGGCTCAGAACCTAGCCAACTACTTATATGAGACAATGACTCATATTAAACATTTCTCATTTTCAATAGATAAACATATTAGTTGTATCAACGTCTCAACAGATAAACATATAAGCTGCATCCACATTTCAACAGCTATGCATATTAGCAATATCAAGACTTCCAATGACAAGCATATGAGCTGTATCAACACTTCCAATAACAAGCATATGAGCTGTATCAACACATTATCTGACAAGCATATGAGCTGTATCAGTGGAGTCCATCCCCTATCTCCTCCCAAACAACATCCCGTTTAGAGGTCCATCCCCTATCTTCCCCTAAACCGTGGAGTACATCCCCTATCTCCTCCCACATACACAATGTATATACACATAGGTCATATACACAATCAATCAATACATAACGTTAATGTATTCTGTCAACCGTCATACTCTATGACATATCCAATTGATTAGTTTTAGTTTGCCTAATCATCATGCATTGTCTACAACAATCAAAACTACCCTCCACCGGTAGCCCAAGCAATTATTTCTAAACAGATAATAAAAGCTCCAACAGATAAAATATCAATGTTTTCAAAAGTGAGCGATTAACAAATCTAACTCCACTATTCAACCATATAATGACGCAATTCCATTATTTCCAACTCAATTCCATATAACCACAATTTCCTCAAATTAATCATACCAATTAATTTATACAACCAATTAGGGTTTTCTACCCCATTTCTCAATATTGACCCAATGGTTTATATTTCAACAACCAATAACAATAACACCATTTTGAAACCCAAATACATATTATGAGCCCAAAATCACAAAATCCTCTTTAACACATTTTGAAACCCTAAGTTCGAAAATTTCTCAAATTCAACATCTTATCAAACAACTAAAAATCTAGGTCAAAGACCATAAAAGTGAGTAGGAACCCCTACCTCAAACGATAAGACCCAAAGAAGAAGATGGTGAAAACGAAGTTACTTCAAACCACGAGTTCCTCGGATCAAAAGATAGCCCTCGACGATCAACAACCTTTTTGTAAAGACCAAAGGTGAGGAAAACACCCTAGCTAGATCAATATCTAGAGAGAAGGCAAGGTTTTAGAGAGAGGCTCTCAAATGGCTTTTTCGGAAAAGTAAGAGAGAGAAAGGATGAGAAAAAGTGATTTAAAACTGCCTCACAGTCAACTGATATACGACATTCCCGCTCGAGCGAAAAACACAACGCTCGAGCGTCAAGAACAAAAACTAGGCCCGCTCGAGCGCAAAAGGACCCGCTCGAGCGCCAAGACACAAGAATAAAGTAAACCCGCTCGAGCGTGAAAACCAGTCCGCTCGAGTGTAGATTTCCCCCTCTCAGAACTTACACCCAAAGGTACTACCCGCTTGAGCGCCAAAGTACCCGTTCGAGCGCAAAGAAACCCGCTCGAGCGTAAAAATCACACCTGCAGAAGTTTTGCAGGGACACGGAATACTGGGGGCGTGCAATCCCCGCTCGAGCGCGATAAGACCCGCTCGAGCGGACCTCCTAAAAACTGGGTAATAAGGAATTGAAACCAAGGCGTAACCAACCTGTAACAACCCTGCCCAAAACATTCTAAAACTCAATCAAGCGGAATTAAAGGACGACAACAAGATAAATACCACTACCATCATCACGGAACCGAGTTCGGAATACAACAGAATAGTAAAGGGACAACCGGGATCGCTATATATAATAAGGATAAAAAAATATATATTTTGGGTAAAGTGCAGTGGAAATAATGTTGCCTTATTTATTGAGTAAATTTTTTTCCTACAGTCATATTAAATATTATATAAATTAATAAATTAAATAAATTTTTATTACTAGATGTTTATAATTAAATTTTAAAAATTAAAATAAAATTAATTTTAATGATATGATAAATATTATATTAGTAAGTGAAAAAATTATAAAAATTTATGCATTACTCATTAATTTCAGAGGCGAGATAGATCTGTGCCATTATAAAGGGTTGGGAAGAGCCCACAGGCTTGGACTCTATTTGCAAGCGCAAAATGTGGAGAGTCAACCTATTAGATCAATGCCAAAAACTAGCACCAATATTTAAATTCTGAAACAATTTTCATTTATTTTTTTAAAGTATTTATAATCTCTGAATTAGAAATATATATTGAAAAAATTTAATTTTGATTTGGTATGCCAAAGAAAAAATTTAAAAAATAAAGGGCAAATTACATATACACCCCTCCAGGTTTGACAAAATTACAGATACCCCTGAGGTTTGAGAAATTACGAATTCCCCCCTGAATGCTATATTTGCATAAGAAATTAGGGGGTAATTTGTTATGAAATATAAACCTCAGGGGGTAAATTATTATGAAAATACAAACCTCAGGGGGCGGGATGTAATTTCCGAAACCTCAGGAGTATCTGTAATTTAACCAAACCTGGAGGGGTGTATATGTAATTTGCCCAAAAATTAAAATAAAATTCACATAAAGCAGGTGTAAAATCCACCCAATTTCCCAAATTACTAAAGGTGCGTTTAGAGACTTGAATTTATAATAAAATAAAAAATAAAAAGACATTATAAATTATTATATTATTATTTTTTGATGCCTTTTTAAAAAAAATTAAAAAATTAACTAACAATAATATTAAAAATACAAAACAAAACACAAAATTAGACATAATTCTCTTCCAAGAGTTATTCTGTGTGTGTGGTTTTTTCCTATTAACTAAGGAAAAGTGGGCAATTAGTCCTTTTGTTTTGTTTTGTTATTGAAAAATTCTATTATACAAGCTCATATCATATTTACATTTAGTTATGCTATTTTTTTAATTATGATGTTATTTTAAAAATTAAATTATGATTTTTTTATATTTAATTATATATTTTTTTATTTTTTTAATTATGACTTAAAAATGAATAAATTACAAATACACCATTGAGATTTGATTAAAATACGAATCGTCCGCTGTGATTTTGAAAATTACATTTCACCCTGAGATTTTTAATTTTATAACAAATTATCCATTTTATTAGTAAATTATTAAGTCAATTAACAATTTTTAATGATGTTATAAATATATTTTAATTAATAATTTAAATAATTTTATTATAATATGTGAGAGTAATTATAAATTTATTTTTTAATTAATTTTGTTACATAAATATTTTTAACAAAAAAATATTTATAATTTCCTAAATTATAAAAAATAATATATACTTTAAACAAATATATATAAAAAATAATAATCTCTACGCACGGTTGAGAGAGATGTGTACCAGTCTTTCGCTTTGTTATTGTGCCGTTTTGGAAACCAAAATAAAAAGTCCGTTTTTTATCTTTAGTCCAAAAATATAAATGGCAAAAATGTAATAAAATTAGTTTGGGAAGTTATAAAAATGCAAGTGTAAAATTATAAATTAGGGTGTATGACAAGAAAATAAAAAAAAAAATTCTTATGTCCGATAAAAATATTTTAATCATTTTAATTTAATTTAACACTATAAATAAATATTAAATTAAAAAATTAAAAGCCAACATTTTATCCACGCACCAAATCACTTTTCAAAAAGCTAAATAGCTTATCGGCATGTGTTTTTGGAAGTTTGAAAAAGCATGTAAGGATGGTATCTTTCCTCACCTTCTCTCTCTCAACTGTGAAAAAGATTGAAATACTCTCTTTAGAGAGAGAGAGAGAGAGAGAGGAGAGTGGCCTGTGTGACAAAAGTTCGATTCTTTGATAGTTCACTTTTGAATCGACTAATGGTTTCTTTGGCTTTGTCCCAAATATCTACAATTTATAAAGATGCAGCTGGAATCGCCGGTACCCTTCTCTCTCTCTCTGAATCGACTGATAGTTCACTCTTGATTTTGGTTTTTGTTTTTTCCTTTTACCTTACATTTTCTTCTTAAATGAAGACGACCCATGATTAAACTCCAAGACAAATATATGTGATTGTTAGTGACTTGGGTTGTTTTGAGTGTTCTTGATACTTTCTTGATGAATCAACAAGTAATTATATTTGGTCCGTTGCTAAAAAAATGTGTATCTTTTTAATAAAACAATTGGGTTTATACAAAGGGGCATCTTTGTTGTTTATAAGGTCGGAGAATAAGTGGAAATTTACTATAAAAATGTTGGTTATTGTTACTGGAAAAAAGCCCTTTGCTGCTGCTGGTAAAGTTTGAAGGTCAATTGGCCTCATAAGCACTAAAAAAAAGAGTGAGATAAATAAAGCACAAGATGTTTAATTTGTTTCTACATTCATAATTTTTGGGCGTATCTAAACCTATATATGAATTTTGTGTATTTTGATAACTATGGATAGATTTTTTGATGGTTAACATTATTTTAAGAATATAAAAAATAAAAAATAAACATGTTCTGTATTTTCTCTAAATTTTGATTGACGATTTATGAAACTATTGTGTTACATTTTAATATGTATAAGAAGTTTGAGCCCATTTCTTTAGTTTCAATAAGTTTTAATGGGGTTAATTTTAAAATAAAAAAGAAACTATAAATTATGAATAATATTGAACTAAGAGTATAATTATTATTATTTTTATAATTTTGTTTTTTGGATGGGGTCAATTGACCCCTCCAGGATGTAGTATGTGGCTCCACCCTTTGTGTGTGTCGGTGTGAGTATATATGGTTTTTCTATGTATGGAATTGTTTGCCATCTCAAAGTTTAGCTGCAAAGATTTATGGTAATAATTTCCAGAAAATCCAAAAACTGATTCCAGCTTGTGAAAATAAATTCATGACAGAAAGAGAGGAGAAGAGGAGGACCAGAATATATTTTGAAAATAGTTTCTAGAATAGTTCTCAAATTTGTAACATGTGAACTTGTACAAGCTTAATTTTAGCTTTATTTGCTTTACTAAGAGGTGGATATTTCAAGCATATTATTCAAGAAATTGTCAAAAGGCTTATTCTTGTGTGCCTATTGCAGGGAACATCTTTGCTTTTGGACTGTTTGTATCACCAATGTAAGTTCACCCCTTTTATTATTTCATTTTCTTTAGTATATATGCCCACTGAACTAGTGAGGATGAACAATGAATTTGAGATATGCCCTCAATTTGTGACATCTTTTTCCCCCCTTCTATTTTCAGGCCAACATTTAGGAGAATTATCAGAAACAAGTCGACAGAACAGTTCTCAGGGTTGCCATACATATATGCCCTCTTAAATTGCATGTTAAGTGCCTGGTACGGCACGCCACTCATATCTTCTGATAATGTATTGGTTATGACAGTCAATTTAATCGGTGCAGTTTTCCAACTTACCTACATAACCCTGTTCATAACATTCACCGAGAAAGCAAAAAAGGTTCATACCTCTGTATTTTCCTACCTTGGTTTCTGAAACCATTAGTGTCGTGTACGCTTTTCATTCATTTGTCTCTTGGAATTTTCTGACAGCTGAGCATGTTTGGGTTGCTGCTGGCAGTTTTTGGACTATTTGCAATTGTGGTAGCCGGGAGCTTGCATATAAGTGATCTTTCTGCACGACGCATCTGCATTGGGTTTCTAAGTGGTGCTGCTCTTATATCAATGTTTGCTTCACCGTTGTTGATAATCGTACGTTTATCTAATGCATCATCTTCTATACTTTTTTTCTATGGAGGGTTCAGATCTTTTCGTTGCTCAAATTTTCACGGCAATTTACTCATCTTGATTATGCATGTTCGCCAGAAATTGGTGATCCGGACAAGAAGTGTTGAATTCATGCCATTTTATCTTTCCCTTTCGACGTTCTTGATGAGCACAGCTTTCTTCTTGTATGGAATTTTCAATTTCGATCCCTTCATATACGTAAGCTTCCTTCTTTCAGTGTACTTTTGTTCTCTCGTCTCATGTACTTATGACACTTGTAAATCATGGCTAGTTTATTTGAATTTCAGGTCCCAAATGGAATAGGAGCCATTCTAGGGATAGTACAATTGGCATTGTTCTTTTACTACAAAAATACATCTGGAGAAGCCTCCAGAGAACCCTTGCTAGTAACTTACACTTGAAATGGAATGTTTGCTTGGCAAAGGTGCATATGTGTTTTCTGTTGTAGTCTTCTGTTAGAAATGATTGATTCTTTTGTTGCTATGCCGCAAAATTGTTCCCTTCTTTTGTAAAAAAACTCAGATGCTGAATTTATCGATTCAAAACCATGCCCCATCCATTTTCTCAAATGGAATAATATGTCCTGGGAATTGCTTCTTCTTTTTTCGACTGCGTGTTCACATTTTCACTTTGTTTATTTATTAATTATAAAATATAAGACGGATGCATTCCTAATGCTGGAACAGCTGTCCTCTTGATATTTTAGGTGTACTCGTCAAATATGCTGGTGAATTTACTTGATATATGTACATTTGTTCAGACATTCAATGTCTGAGTGAAGCTCCTACTTGCTGGAAAATGGCATTCCATATACAATAGAGGTGGAGGATTTACATTATTCTGACAAAAAGGACATAATTATTGTTAACTAGTTCTTGAAAACTTCTCAAATCTCTCTCCCGAAGAAGAGGGCAAAAGCAACATCCGTTTGGTTACCCAGAAAATGGAGGAAAAGCAAATAACTCAGAACCATACAGCTTTCATAGTTTTGGCTGCTGAGAATATGAACATCAAACTTTCCTGAGCTTTGTACAAATGGGATACATTGAGGCCAAGTTTGGGAAGACTAAATAAGTGCACTTTTTGTCTTTTTAGACTAAAAAGTTGAGGTTGAAAATATGAATGTTTGGGTTAACTTTTTGACTTTTTATGAAAAAATGTGTAATAAAAAATTGTAAAAATTGATTTGTAGGAGAAAATTAGAATTGGGAGTTGTGCAGCCGTAATTGTTGACTTTTGGTGAATAGTGATAACTTTTTAACTTTTTGAGTAACTTTTTAGTTTTTTGACTTTTTGGGGTGTTCCCAAACTTGGCCTGAGTTGAAGTATTTTATAGTTTTGTATTTCTTCTTGTTGCATTTCTGTTCAAGATATTGCACAGTAATGTCAGGGCAAAAGGGGGTTAAAGTTCATCCAGTAATGATAAAGACCTTCACAAAACACTTCTATAATTCCAAAATGATCTGAATCATTCTATAATTCCAAAATGATCTGAATCATTCATGTCACTATCAGATACAACTTTCAGAAAAAATTCAAACACATCAATGGTCAATACATTAGTGAGGGTTATGGGAGTCCTCTTTTGTGGGTCCCGTGGGGTCCCAAACATTTTTGAAGTTCATATTTTGACAGATCTAATTCTTAGATTTTCTCTGTGCTCTTTTCTCAAGTAGTCAATGGAAATGTGCAACCTAATTTGGGAACTTGGTTAAAAATCAAATTTATTTTGAATTATATCTCTTTACTTTTTTACATATTTTTCAAAAATAAAATAAAAAAATCAAAAAGTCAACTCCAAACTAATTTCCTAAAATTCATTCCATACACTATTCATTCTTGAAATCTCTAATGCACACAACGTATTGAAACTCTTGAGATGTCAAAACAAACGCCCGCAGTCAAAAATAATAATAATAAAATAAAAAGAAAGATAAAATATTGATAATATTTGCATGAATCTTAAGACAATTTTTTGGACAACAAGGGCCCCGTTTCATTTTTATTTTGGAACCATAATTTAAGTGTAAAATTATGTTTTGAAAGATAAATTTTTTAAATGAGTTTTGAAAAGAGAAACTTATTTGGTTATGAATTTTAAAAAGAATTTTAAGTTTTGAATTGTATTTTGAAATTATTTTGTTTTTTTTTTAATATTTAAAAGTTTTCTTAATTTTATTATTTTAGGATAAATATTTTTTATTGTAAATGTTTTTTTAATGTGCGCTATATTTACTATATTTATGCATTGTCATTTTTAAAAAAAAAACATTTTACGTATTTTTCTAAAATATATAAAAAATCTAAAAAGTTATATAATTTTTATTTTAAATATTTTCCCTTTTTTATTTTAAATATTTTTTTTTAAAAAAATTGAATCTCTCATATATATTTAAATCATAACAAATTATCTGGTCAATACTTAAAAAAATAACAAAATACTTTTCGAAAGAATAAAAATTAAAAGAAAATTTTTTGCAAAAAAATAAAAAATAATTTTAAAGAACAAAATAACAATATATATATATATATATTTTTTAATTTTTTTGTTTTAAAAAAAGTTTTGATTATAAGTTTTGAATTGAGTGGGTGGTAAGTTTTTAAAAAAATTTGAATTTTTTTTTATTAGAATCATAATTTTAAAATAAAATCAAACGCTACCAAGAATTTTGAAAACCTTTCTACCAACAAAATAGAATAAAAAATACTTGTAATATCTAGGATAATGTTAAACCACTGATATATAAGGTGATATTTGTTTGGATGGACTGAATAATGATGGATTGTAATTCATCATATTGTTAATCTTGAAATACATAGCCCCTGGGCTATTTGGTTGAAAATTATGTATATTCAAGATTTGTTTAGTTATGAGATTAGATGTTAAAATATAATTATTCTATTAAATTTTATATTTGTTTGAGATATTATAAAAAAAGATAAATACTCAAAAGACTATTTTATTATTTTAAATGCTAAATTTGAGTTACAAATTTTATTTTATTTTATTTTTTAACTATACCTTTTACAAAATAAATAAAACATCAATAAAAATTAAATAAATTTAATTTACTTTTTAGTTGAGATTTTTAAATTTTATTTTACTTTACTAAATATAATTAAAAATAATATAAATACAAATTACAGGAGAAAAAAACAAACAAACCATCCAATAGAAAAAAACACACAAACACAAAACAAGGCAAAACCACCGTCGACGAATGCAGCCTCTACCTTAACACAATCAGAGCACGAACGTAAATACTTGAGGTTAAAAGCGTCATTTTACCCTCCAATATGGAGGTGGAGTTATCTTATGTATTCTATACTTCTCATGATACACAATAATCCCACAAATAAAAGAAATAGTTCGCTTCAACTATTAGTTTGTCTTATATTTTTGAGCAAAATGTTAGGCTATCACATAAAATAAGTATAGAGTTTTATCTCACACTCTAATCTTCCAAACAAACACCCCCTAATGCTGTGTTTGGTTGGGGGATTTGGGAGGTGATTTGGAAAGGAAAAGGGAAAAGGTGTGTGAAACTAGGTGAAATGTAAGTATATTTTATTCACATTTCACCTAATTTTTCCCTTTCCCTTTCTAAATCCCTCCTCAAATCTTCCAACCAAACACAGCATAAGAGTATTTGAGCAAAGTTTCATCGTTTTAATGATAGTATTGCTAGAAATTTTAAAAACAAAAATTGATTTTTTTTTTAGTGTGGTATAATTTTTTGAATAATTGTATTTTTTTAATTGTCATATTAGATGCAGTAATTAACTAAGAGCTGATTTGAGAATTGTATTTTCCAATAATTTTTTATGAAAAGATTAAAAAAAAAGAAAAAAAAGATTAAATGATTTAACAATTTATAACGCTGTAAAAAACTGTATGGTTCTCAACATTTCCTAACTATCCTCAAGTGGGCCATAGTTAAAAAATGGATAAATAAACAAAAAATATACTTTTATAATTTTAATAAAATTATAGTGATCTACAAATGGTATAAATATTTAAAGATAAATAAATAAAAATGATAATTTAATAAAATAATAATAATATATTTTTTTATTTATATTACTAATTATTGATCAAAATAGAGTTTTTATTTAGAGAAATTATACGCAGGTGAGAGAAGAAAAAAATAATTATCAACTCATAAAGGGTGTAAGTGACACTTGCATCCTTGCAGTCTTTTCATTTACACCCTATCACATACACATTTATATCTCTCAGGATTGGGCTTCCCTTTAGTTTATGATCGGACTAGAAGATATTGTTGGGTCTGTGCAAGCTCACCACGGGTCCCATTTCAATAATCCGAATTGTTCAATGTGTAGAACTCGTTGAGTATTATACGTTTGTAAAAAATCACATTGATCGAATATCGATAGCTATCTCATCGGATCAGATTTCTATCAACCGATTATTTTTTCACCGTCTATTTTTTTTTTATATATAAAACTGATTTGATCACGTAACTATTGATATTTGATTAACATGATTTTTTACAGGTATATAGTACTCGACGAATTCTACACATTACACGATTTAAATTATCAAAATAAAATCCATAATAAATCCCCCCAAATCTAATAATACTCTCTAATTCGATGATGGACTTAAGGCAAGCTACTGCGTATCCCTAATATGTTAATAATTGTTTTTTTACTTCTCTCACTGCAATTGCCCTTTTTATTTTCTCTATTACTCATATAAGTCACTGTAACGTTACATATAGTAATTAGTATACAGTCCTGCTACAGACCCCCACCAAAAGTTCACTCCCACCACCCCCAGTGACGTGGCTTGTGAATCAGAGTTGCTTTAGACTTTTGAAATAAGCAAAGCGTGTTCACGCGTTCTGAAAGAACAAAAATAAAGTGGTGTGCTCTGCTACCTTCACCTTCTCCCTCCCCACTCTCTCTCTCTCTTCTCCATCTCTCTCTCTCTCTCATTTCTTACCAGCCTCCTCTCCACCAGATTTGTAAACTGCAAAAAAAAAAACAACAGAGGAAGAGGAAGAAGGAGTTGCATAACCACCACAAACCAAATCCAAAATCAAACCCAAACCAAACCCAAAATCAAACCCACACAACCACCATAAATTAGATCTCACAGCCACAAATCAAAATTATGTTCAAATCACATACAACTCTTTATTCTCAATTTCCTTCAATATATATATATATATATATTTTGCTTTCTTTCCATTCTATTCCAATCCAAGACTAACTTTTTGAAAACCCAAAATGAGAAGGGAAAGAAGAGCTATTCAGAAATGGTAAGAATTCTAATCAATATTTGATTGAATTTGGTGATATGCATATCATTTATATCATATAAATGTGATGAAATTGAGTTGTTAGTTATGAAGAATGAATGAATGTAGGTTGGTAATCAAAGGCTTTCAACCATGCACCGAAAACTCTAGCATTCCCCACCACGAAACTTTTCTGATCTCTGTTTCTATCTCACTACTTTCTCTCTACTCTCTCTCTATATTATATGACATATACCCTCCCTACCTTCTCTCTCTAAAAACTCTTTTCCTCTCTTTCTCTCTCTCTCTCCTCTTCTTCTTCTCTCTCTCTTCTATCCACCGCCGATGCCGACCGTTGATTTCCCTCCCCAACCCCCTTCTTCCAAAGCCGACACCAAACCCAACAAACACGAAGCTCTTCTCTCTCTCTCTCTCTACTGATGAACGGTGACGCGACGACCGATGACGAATGGTGGTGGTCGGATCTCTTTGTCATCGTCACGATACTTCGACGGCGGCGGAGGTGGCCGGAGCAATGGTGAAGAGAGAAGAGAGAGAGGAGGGCTGAATGGTTTCACAGATGAGAGAGAAAAGAAAGAGATGAAGGATGAGATGGGTGCGTGGATGCGTGGGCTTACACGGGAACCTGTTTGTTTGGTCTTACACCCCAGTCACGTGACTATCACGTGAGTGCCACCTCACTGGGTGTCACTGGGGGTCGGGGCAACTGGGTGTATGAGGCATTTTTGTAATCTCTTATCCAATTTTACTGTCCCTTTCATTTCAATTTTTTTTTGATGTTTTGTTTAGATATCAAATTTATAAAGTAATTTATGAAAAGGAAGAAAAAAAAGGTTAAGAATCATAATTTTTTTTTTAATACAATAATCCCAGTCACAAATTTTCCTGATGATATCTAGGAAACTGGGCAACATCAAGTCAGCTTCATGCTCCACAATTCGCAACGGTACGGTCACTGATTCGAGCGCTTCTTTTAGGGTTTCTGTTGGATTTTGTGACGGTGATGAGAGCGATGGTCCGTTAAGGTATTCATTCTAAACATATGTAGATTATCATCATCTTCTCTTCAAGTTCAATTTTTTTAATTCGTTCTTCTTTTATTGGGGTTTTTCATTGTTTACTCGAAATCTTATTTTTCCATTGTTTTAGGGTTTGTTCTTCGATTAGTCCTCTCATACATTGATTGTATATATTTATGCCGCACCTATCCGCTTATTGATTTTTTTTTTCTTTGTTGGAAAGAAACGAAATTAAATAAAAAGTAACTTATCAGTATGTGAATGTATATGCATGTGTATATATATTGTGTGTGTGTGTGTAGATACATTGATTGATTACTTAGGAAAGACAATTTATCTACCGTTCTTGTTAATTCAATTGTTTGTTGAGGCTTTTTTCAGGTAAATTTCTTTATTTTGATTGGATATTAATGTTTTTGGGGTTAGTTTTGAGGGAAAGTTTTTGACTTTCTATGCTGATTCTCGAGAATTGCAATTTTATTGTATTGGGTCTCTGTTTCTAGGTTATTTTGAGGATTTGATTATTTTGGTCTTTTGGTTTGTTGTCCATGTCTTCTTGTTGATTCAACTTGCATGCTTTTCATGGACTGCACAAGTTTGAGGGTTGATCAATTATGTGCATAGTACCACATTGTACCTTTTCACGTTTAATTCAATTATTGTTCTAGTTAGGTTTTGTGGTTAAATTTTCTAATTCTTTTTTTTTTTTTTTTTCGATTTTCTTCAGCTGTGGTGATTAGGAAGCTTTATCATCCACAACTGCAAATTACACCCTTTACTGTTTTTGAAATTTGAAAGAAAAATGTCTGGAAGGAATCGTGGACCTCCTCTTCCAATGAAAGGTGTTCCACATGGTGGACTACCCTCTATTCATGAACCTCCGTTTGGCAGAGCCATCGGCCTAATGCCCCATCCTGCAGTTCTTGAGGAGATGAGACAATCCCAGTTTGGTAGGGACCCCAGAGAACTCCATCCTCACCCAGCTATCATCGAGGAGCGGCTTGCAGCTCAACATCAAGATATTCAAGTGCTTTTGGTTGATAATCAGAGACTAGCTGCCACCCATGTGGCACTTAAGCAGGAATTAGAATCAGCCCAGCATGAGCTTCAACAAACGGCCCACTATGCGAGTTCTTTGCATGCAGAGAAGGATATGCAGATGAGGGAATTGTATGAGAACTCTATTAAAATGGAAATGGATCTTGGTGGGGCGAAGGCTACGAGGGATGAGCTTCTGCAAGTTCAGGCTGATGTCAAGGAGTTAACTGCTGCAAGGCAAGAGCTTACAGCTCAGGTCCAAACAATGACTCAGGATTTATCCAGGGTTACTGCAGATTTAAAACAGTGCCCAACTCTGAAGGCTGAAATCGAGGGTCTGAAACAGGAGTTGCAGCGTGCAAGGTAATACTGTGCATAGCCTTGTTGCTTGAAGCTTTATTTTCTAAATTTGGTGACTATTTTGTTTTCCTTTGTTGGCATACAGGGCTGCCATTGAGTATGAGAAGAAGGGATATGCAGAGAATTATGAACATGGTCAGGTGCTGGAGAAGAAATTGATCTCAATGGCTCGAGAGTTGGAAAAACTTCGTGCTGAGATGGCTAATGCAGAAAAGAGAGCACATGCTGCTGCTGCTGTTGGTAATCCAGGTATGTGTTCTCAAGGTTTGTTGACTTGCAAATGGTTAACAACCAATTTGCAGTAGTTTATCCATTGGTTTTTGACAACTTAGACTTGACCGTTCAGAGTTTACTTCAATCTGCTTTGTGGTTCAGTTTAGTTTGTGAAGGATAGGGTGGTTGCAGAGCTGGGTTTTTTCTTTTAACACTATCCTTGCTGTCTTTAGAGCATGAAGCAGAATAGTTGTTTCCTTGCCTGTGTTTTATAAGACTCCGTATTTTGTTTCTACAAATGCAGGTTATAATGGAAATTATCCCGAAACTGGATATGCTGGAAATGCTTATCCTGCCAATTATGGCATGAATCCTATGAATACTGTAAGTTTTCTTTTTCTTGCTACCTTGTGTTTGTTAACACACACAAACACACCTTTTTATTTTATTTGTGTATATTAGCTTCTTCTTTCAGAGACATTTTGACTGTTTTAAACATTTCAGGTACATGCTGGTGCAGAAAACTATCCTCAATATGGACCTGGTCCTAGTTCTTGGGGTGCCTATGACATGCATCGAGCTCAAGGAAACAGATAGACTAGTATGCATATCATGCTAAACTGTGGACTGTTATTTGCTTTTGAATTATTGGAATTTAAGCTGGAACTAGGTAGATACTTTGATTTGGTTCTGAAATATTGTTTTATGATAGATATTTTGGAAGGTGTGCCTAATTATTATGGGGAACTGTAGTCTTGCTGCTTATGTTGACAATTCATATTAGCTTGATGCTACGGCATATTATTGTTTGTTTGAATATTGTCTAATTCAAGTATTTGCACCAAATGCTCCTATTATCTAGTGTATTTCCATGTGACATTTGGTTTAACTTATATAGTTGCAGGATGTTTATTTTGATTCGACCTTTGTCTCCTGAATAGTACAGCAGATGTGTGATAATTGATACTTAGATCACATATTTTGCTAAAATTTCCATGTTGATGAGCAAGTGAAGTGTTGGTGCCCACCACTTGGGAGCTTAGTAGCAGGAATCGCTGAAGTTGCTCACGAATCAGCCAAAGAAGTGCGATGCTGCATTTTTGAGGAAGAATCGGGGAAGAATCGCGAGTCTAATGCTAGAGAAACGCGAATCTGAGAAGAGAAGGAACTTATCTAGATTTGTCATCCTCACTCTCGACCTCAATTTCTCTGCCGATCGTATCTGTCCTCTCGATCTTGTTGTCTCTCTCTGTCTCGATTGATCTCATCATCTCTCTCTCTCGATCGATCTCATCATCTCTCTCTCGGTCGATCTTGTCTCCTCTCTCTCTGTCTCTCTCTCTCTCTCTCTCTCGATATCGTCTCCTCTCGAGATCGATCTCCTCCACCTCCTTTTCTCTCTATCTTCTTTTCTTCCTATCTCTCTCTTTCCACTTCTTCTTCTATTCCATTCATCTGTCTTCTTCTTCTCCTCTCCCTCTTTTATTTTATTTTTGTAAGAAAATAAATAAAACAAATAATTTTTAACAATAACATTTTAAAATAAATAGATAAAAAAATATAAATATTTTAAAATAAATAAAAAAAATCTAATAAAAGTATATAATTATAATATTTTAACATACGATTTTTTTATACTTCCTCCGTCTCAAAATATTAGTCCCTTATTCTATTTTTCATTGTCCCAAAATATTAGTCCCTTTTCAAAAATCAAGGAATAAAATAATATGAATATACTATTTTGCCCTTCTTTTAAATTCATTAATAACACAAAAAGTACGATTATCACAATTGATATTCCCAAAAAAATGTACTATCAAAGAGTAATTTTGGACAATTAATATTTTTAAACTATAAAAAAAGTTGAATTCTCCAAAAGGGACCATTATTTTGGGACGAAGGGAGTACTTTTTTTTTATTATTGAAATTTGTAACATATATTTTCATCCTCATTAGAGTAAAAAAATACATAATCTTACAATATATTTTTATATATTATATTATTTAATATATATACAAACGCTCCCTACCAACAATTCTTGGAATGTCTACGATTCCCTGCTCCCGCTCCCGCTCCCGCTCCCGCTCCCGCTCCCGCTCCCGTTCCCACTTTGTGCAACTAAGCTTGGGAGTTTGTCTAACATCAAGTGGGGAATGAGTCTTGCAATTGTATGACATTCTGGTGTTCACCTTTGAACACCTTAAGATGTTGATTTTAGTTTAACACTACTCAAGATTGTATTTGGGATGCCAAGTGTCGTTTCTATCAGCACTCACTTTTGAGGTTGATCTTCTGCCTCTGCTTACTTACACACTGTTAATAAATCTGGCATCATGGATTTTATAGCAGAGAGTCTTCCTCATTTATAAATTTGTGAATTTGGTGCCCTTATTATTCTTTCTCAATTTTCCATTGAGTAACATTCTTGCATATCTTTTACTTGAGTTTGGTCTTGTCTTCTGTGCAATTATATAATATAAGTCACTTTTTTGTTGTAGGGCTAACTGTTACCTTTTTTATATATAAAATAAGTGCCTGGCTGGAGTTAGATTATCTTATGGATTTCCCCACCTATAAGTCATGGAAGAGATTAGGGATTCTAAATTCATTAAAACACAAGTAGCACGAAAATTATGAAAAAATTTAAGGATGGTGTTCGAGATATGATTTGGCACCTCAAAGATTTTTGGTTGTAAATGGATTATTAAATTTTTTATCTTTCAATGGGAAGTTAATCTTTTTTATTTTGATTTTGAAATTCTTATTATTTAGGTTGAGGCTATGATATATGTTTGTCCTCATTCAGAGAGCATTGCAGGATATTCATTAGCCTACATGAAAGGTGGACAGCTGCCAGTCATAGGAGGAAAATATATGTTATTAATTTAAATTCTTCTTCTTCTTTTTTTTTTTTTCAATTAATTTTTTATAACAATATGTTAATTAAATTCAGCAAGGATTAGGATGGTTTGCCAAGATTATCTTAGAGATTCACATGGGCTAGGTTTGTGGATGGGCATTAGAAAGGTTAGCAGGAGTGTTCCAAGCTAGTTGGTTAAATAGGTATTAGTTAACAGATTTGATGGGTAGTTCTAAATAAAACACCTTTATAGCATATGTGAACAATGAAGAATTGGGTTGTTGAGGAGGTGGATCATTTTGTTTTGTTTTATTTTTCCCCCTTACCTTTGTGTGTGTCTTACTGTTGGACTGTGGATGGTATTGGACCGTTTGGCTTTCAATCTTCTAATAGGATGATTTCTTGTGAGTTGGCATGGGTTTTCTGAGGAGGATGGCCAACATATCTTTTAAGGATTCCCACTTCATTTTGACTGCGGTGTTGGAAGCAATTCTAAGTGTTGATGACATGGCAGGGCCTTGGGCAGTGTTTCCAAATTTTGTTGTACTTGCAAGGTGGAGGAGGAGATGTGGAGCCATCTGCTATTGCATTGTGAGATTGCTAGGGAAATCTGAATCATGGTCTCTATACCATTTTTCGGTTCAAGTGGATTATGATGAATTCGGTTGTCCAGCTGCTTGGATCCTAGCATGCTGGTTGTTCATTAAAAGCTTCTGGTTAGCTTGGCAAGTTGCCCTTTTTCCCTTATTTGAGTATTTGAGAGGAAGGGAAATGGTTCCATACATTTGATGAGGCCAAGAGGTTGGCATGTTGATTGAAGAAGACCATATTCAGCACCTTCCAACGTTGAATGTTGGGAAAGTTATTTGGATCTATTCTGTTGTGTATTGCGAAGACTGCAAAGTCTTGTGGTTCTAGTACACTTTGTGTATGCTCGAGCTGTTCCCCTGTTGGCTTCTTTTGCTTAATAAAATTTATTTATCAAAAAAAGAAGGGGGAAAAAATACACAAGGCTTTTATCACAATTCTAGATTCAGCTTCTTAAATCTCGTTCCTGTCATCAGCTTTATTTGAAGTCGTGTTATCTATTAAAACACTGTAAGTTAGATGTTTCCACTTTTCATATAAATCAAGAAGCCTATATTTTTCATATTACATGTATATTCTAAAAACATATTCAGGATCATTGACCATAATCATGTTTATGCTATGAACTTCATTTCCCCCTCTTGTTTCCTGCATTTTTGCCCTCAAAAGTTATATCTTGGAAAAATCTGCACCAAGTACTTTAATAGGGTTTTAGGTGACCACTGTAGTTCGAGTGTGTTTTTGTCTAGGTTTTTTTTATGCATATTATATGTGTAGAATATTCATCATCTTTCAACAAGAAGAGATGATAACAAGGACAGTCCTTTTGATTTCACATCACATGCTTTCTAATAATATAATTACTATGACTAGGCTAAAAAAAAGGCAAGCTGACTTTAGAAACTAGTATGTATATTTATTATTACCAAAATAATTTTTAGTTTTAATACCGTTTGCCAGTTGCACCAAAAATTTTGCTCATTTTGTGCATCGAGGACATTTGTGTGGAAGTAGTACCATTTCATCATGGTGAAGGTATTCTTCTGGTGAAGACACTACTGGGTTTGTGGTTACCTTTTTAGCATTATCATGGTCCTTGTGACTAGTGTTGACGTTGAGGCTTTCGGCTTGGGTTAGGCATATAAGCTTTTGTACACCGGTTTCATTACTTGGAAGCTGATAGTGAACTCCTTTTTTACTCTTTTGATTGGCTGTTTTAAGTGGCATGTAGCTTTGTAAGTGTTTTTGAGCAGGAAGTGAACAGATATGTTTGGTGGATAAGTTGTATTCTGTTGTAGGTGCAAGGAGTTCCAAAAATGGCCTAGTTGTCTCCACTTAGTGTCATCCTATCTTTACTCAAATGGAAGCCCTGACTAAATTTCTAAATAGTTGTTATTCATGTGGTTTAACCATCAACCAACCTTTGACTTGGTATATATCCTCGAACTTAGCTTACTGAAGTACCATTTCTATGGCAAGGTTTTACGAACTCCCGGGATGATGAGTTCCTTAAGTAGCTGGAAATCTTTATTTAATGGAGTGAGTATGCCCCTTCCTTGAATACAAGATTTCCTTCATTGACTCTTTCCATGAAAGGGTTCTAGGGCGAGTTAGTAGTATCACCTTTTTTTCACTGCATTAGGTACTGTGGTCATTTGAAGTTCCCAGTAGGGATATGTACGTTAGGGGAAGTGGATTATTATTGGTGCTGCTTTTGGTGTATGGGTTGGAAAATGCCCTTTCCTTCTTTCTAGTTTGTTATTTTTGAGGTTCAGCTTGAAGGAAGAGGCTTTTTTATGAAAGCAATTCAATCATAGTCTCATTCCGTTTAAAAGTATGGCCGTCAAGTACTGGGAGAATCTTGCTGGTTGGATGGAAAACACTGGCTGTTGCAAGACACTTTCGACAGTTGAGATGCAAGATGAGTTCATGGAGTCAAGTAAGTGATATAACTTTCTGTGCAAATCACTCTGCTTCAATTTTTCCTCTGCTGGTTGTGCCTATTTAAGAATCTTTTGAATTTTGTGTATGTTTCAGTTTGTTGGGCGGGTGTCAACTTCTCTTGTTCATTACGGTTGCTAGATAGTTTTTTTTTTTTCCTGTTAGTGTTGTGGTTTGGATCGCAATTTTAGTTTCTTTTTAATAGACATCCCTGGAATCCAAATCAAGTTGCATAGAGGACCTGTTTCAAAGATTGCAGCCATTCTTTATGTTTGTCAACATTGCTATATTGTTTCGGTGGACTTCTAATATTAAGATACATTCACCTACAAATGGTAGTTTATAGGTATTTTGGTGTGCTAGCTTTTGCAACTCAGTTTGTTTGTTGGCTGATGTATCACTAGTTGTATCTTTCCTCCATTGTCCAGTGCAATATTTCTCAAACAACCAGCTGAAGGAAAACAGTTATTGTGTCTGCCTAGCATTGTGGTGGTCTGAAAGTAGTCTTGATGGCTTTCTAGTGGAAGTCGTAGTGTGATAGTGATGGTATCAATGGTGATAGAACTAGAAATCTTGTTGAAACTACAATTGGACAAGATTAACCTATAGCAGTGCATCCTGAATGAATGTAAGTTTGGATTCACATGTTTGTCTTGCAAAATGTCAGATGTTTTATAAGACTTGTCATTAGAGCAAGGGCCTATGAATCTGTGTTGTATTTACACACATATCTGGGATTATATACTAGTTTGATCACTTTTTGGGAGTCCATTCATATAATTTGAATGGGAATTTAGATTTTGTTATGTGGTGGCACTTAATATTTATCTGTTACATGGAGATAATGATGGTTTATTTTTGTTATTGGTTATTGTGCCATTGTACAACTGCTATCTGTTTTGAGAATCTTTTTACATGATTGCATGCCACTTGCAGCTGATGAAGCATATGACTACTTTTTTGTATGGCTAGCGAGATGATCTATGGGAGCAACAATGTCACACTTGATGGTATGTGCTGGCATCTTAAGTCGAAGTATCTAAATTTTAGTTGTGGGTTAAAATTTTGTTACATATAATTTGATTTGATGGCTTAACTAAATGTTATACCTTATCTTTATGTTATTACCAGCTTGTTTCATTAGGCTAGTTTCTTTCCTCACTTCATGCCATTTTCCCCCCATTATTGGGTGCCAACTGATAAACATTTGCATTTACATACTGAAGGTGACTTGGAAACCTTTAATGGAAGAAACGGACAGTAGACTTTGAAAACTTTGTTCTGGTATAGTGTCTAAAGCCTCTGCTGAATACTTCATATGTCAAGTTTTTCTATTAGTGCAGCAAGCCCTTTTCCCCTTGTGTGCATATTGTATCTAGGTGATGAGTGTCATGGCTAACTTGTAAACATGTATGATTAGAAGGCTATTTTGGAGCTATTTTAGCGTCTATCAAAAACTTCTGTTCGATTGCTTTCTAGAGATGAATATTTGTTATGTATGTCTAAGACTCGAGCATTTTACTTTTGGCTTATATGGTCTACTATGTGATGTGCTTTATCATATCTTGATTGTTGGCTTACCTCATGATATTTCTTGCCATTTATCTTATATTCTAATTGAATGGAAATTGAAGAGAGTTATATTGCACTTGTATCCTGTCATTTCTGTCTGTTGTGTATTTAGTCTCCTTGTCTGGTATCAATGTATGATTGACATTTTGCTGTTATGGTTTCCAGGTTTTAATGGAGAGCTTCAAAACATAATGATTCTGCCACTATCCAAAATTTCACAAGGTTTGTGCATTTGTCATTCATTTTTGACATTCAGTTTGTTTCTGTTTTGTTGATGTGGTACTGTTGTCATATTGTGCATCTCTTGCGCACGCTCCGACTTCCAATGTTGCCCTACACTTCGGTATTCCTTTGCTCATAACGGTCATAATTTCAATTGTTATATGGATGTGTGATTAGTGTGTCATCCTCAGGAAGCTAACCTCCATGATTTTTGACTTTCTTGGACTACGCATTTACCTCGGTTGATATCCTTGCCATATGGTCGGGTTGGTTCTTAAAATGTATTCCTTGGCTAGGTTTTGGAGGGACCATAAACGCCATTATTGCCTTGATATTAGCTGATTTAGTATGCAATCAGTTTCATGTCTTCTGTGTTGATAGAGTTCAGTTTGATCATCATTTGACTATGTTTCTCCTTTTTATTAATCTATTTAAGCAATAAATTTGTCTGTTTTCTTTCTTGCAGCAGGGAAGTCCCCTCCGAGGGACATAAACTGAAACCTATGAGGCATTCATTCATTGTGCCCTCTCATAGGGAATTAGCCACCTGGTATGTACTGAAAACTTGAATCCAGTAATTAAGCTTGTTTCTATATGAATCTTATTTTTGGCTAAATGAGAGCCTTTCTAGTTCAGGGTGTTAAAATGTATTCCTTGGCTAGGTTTTGGAGGACCAGTTGGTTGGCAAATGGTGGAAGTCTTTGAAGGTTTGCGGTCACTGGCAGAGCTATGCATGAAGTAGTGGGTTCAATTGAACCTGCTGTGAACTGTGAATTTTTTTTTTTTGGAGAGGTTTTCATAGACTGACACCATTAAAATTGTTCATAAAAATAGATTTATCAACAAAAAAAATTTATTTAAAAAAATATATAATTACATGTTTTTATCATATTTTTATATCATATTTTGTTTAGAATGCATAACTATTAATGGTTGAATATGATTATGGATGAGACTAGTATGGATACCATTGCGAGCAGCATTATGTCACACATTAGATATTATGTAAAAATATGGTGAGTGTAGCTTTATTAACATAATATATATTATGATATCATTTTTTTTGGAGACATTTACTAATAAATCTTATTTTCATGATTTACGGACCATTTAGTCCCATAAATATTCTTATGAATACATAAGTCCTATTTCACATTAAAATCTCTCAAATGAAGTGTACTCACATTTGGAAATGCAATAAGATAATAGTGCACACCTAAGATTGATATTTCATTGTCACATTTTAAGAATAATATATTTGGCAAAAATTTAATAAGATAATAATACACAAATGTCTCGTTATCACATTTTGAAAAAATGACACATTTGAAAAAAAGCTTAATAAGACAATAGTAAACACATTAGAATGATATTCAACTGTCACATTTTAAGAATAATATATTTGATAAAAGTTTAATAAATAAAGTAATAGTATACAAATGTTTCATTGTTATATTTTAAGAAGAATGACATATTTGACAAAAGTTTAATAAGACAATAGTGTACACGTAGAATAACATCACATTTTAAACATATTTGACAAAAATTTAGTAAGACAATAGTGCATAAATAAAGCTTATTCACCTTTGAAATCTTCAAAAAAATAGTAAAATGGCTTTATGGTGTACCTTTTCAAATTCAATAGGATTTAATAATTTACAAGAAAATTCATGAAATTTTTTGATACATACTTTTTTTGGGATGAAATTTATGAATAAATTTTCCTTTATTTTAATAATAGTAATAAAAAATTTATTCTAACCAAACCTAGCCGATGCAGTGGTTAAAGGTTTTTGAATTTTACTCAAAAGGCCAAGTTTTGACAAGCTGTCTTTATCTCAATTTAAGTGATACACAAACACATATACTTATCAAACACAGTGAAGATCCGTTAGTTAAGGGGAGTTCTAATATATATCCTCTTAAAGATGTACTATATGCACCTTTATTATATATTATATATAGAATTTTATATTATTATTTTAAACATGAGTGAAATACTTCACACATCTATAATTTTTGTCTAAATTATTATTTTTTTGCAAGTGACATCATAATTTTTTTTTTTAATATAATACCCAAGTTTGATGGCTAAAAAAATTTGAATTTTACAATTTTTTTTTATTGCATCGATGTCAAATATTATGTACCAAAATTCCCCCCCCAAAAAAAAATAAAAATAAAAATGTGTAAGGTAATTATTTGTGTATCATTTTCATAAAGAATTTCCCACCAAACTAAAAAAATTCTCTCTTATTTGAGAATTTCATAGTAATTTAATTTGGCCATTGAGTGTTCACTATATTTTTGTGGTTAAAATTTTATCTTTTGAAGATATTTTAGTGATGGGTTCACATAATTTTGGGATTTAAATGTTTTATGTAACATTTAATTTTGTATTTCTTTATGCAATTCTAATGCATTTTTATCTTCTACATTTGGTATTGATTTTTTTTTTCGATAAGAAACTTTAGTAATTGAGTCTTTTATTTTGTTTTGCTTATGGGTTGGCAACAAAAGTTTTTATTTAATTTTTTTTTCTTCATTGCAAAACATTGTTCTCAATTAGATATATTGATATTTAAGTGTAACTTTTTTCCCCATCTAAAAAAAAAAATATTGTAACTTTTTTGTGTGGTTTATTTATTTGTTTAACTGAATTAATTTTTTTGTTTGTTTTGTTTTGTTTTGTTTTTTTTTATCATTGAAAGCCCATGAAAATAAATGAAAAAAGAATGTGGGAAAGCGTTTGTCATGCAGAAGAATTGGAAAACTTGTGACTTATCAAAAAGAAATAGAAAACTTATTGATAAACATAATTGTGGATAACAACAACATTCTTTACTGTAGATAACAATAACATACTGTGGATAACAACATTCTTTGCTGTGGATAACAATAACATACTGTAGATAACAACATTCTTTACTGTGGATAACAACAACATACTGTGGATAACAACATTCTTTACTATGGATAACAATAATATTCTTTATAAATGCTAAGTATTCTTTTCTTAACAGTGAACCTAACATATTTGTTTTCAACTCATTCCAAAGCTCTTACCATGAAGACCTATGTAACACTTACTATGTTAATATGGTGGTTTTATTGTCTATTTTTTTTGTCGTTTCCGTTTGTTAGGTTGTTTGTGTTGGCCGAAGAACCATACAAATCAGCCATTGGTGATCCTGGGATGAGAAGAGATGGCCTTAGAGTTGCAATTGAGGCATGGAATCAATGCAATGAGGTAGGCGAAGAAGCTCCTAATATGGGCAGTCCAAGGATGGCAGATTGCTTTGATGTTATTCACTCATCACCCAGTGAGTTCTTAATCATTTATGATTCTTCTCTCTTTATTATGACACAGGGTCTAAGACATATCGATAAAGGGATTTTTATTGTTAACTCAGTATTCTAACCGTGAAAAATTGTGACATATAAATCTGGTCAGTCTTGTTGTTAGTATTATCGAATAAACAACTGTGGATCTTATTGATGTCTCAAATTTAGTTATTGTCATTCAATACCAAACAAACTTTATGACCAAGTTTAAAATAGCTACATCTTTCGTTTAATTTAATACTCTTTTTTTCTTCTTCTTCTTCTTTTTATTTTTGGTAGTCAAGTTAGTTCACAAGGTGAATGAAGAAGACAACAGACTTGGTGTATCGAATGCCCTATTCAAACGGTCAAGTATCATGAATGTCAACCAATATGCACCATGGAAGGAGATTTATTTGGGTAAAAAATGCCAAGTAGAAGACCAGCCAAGGCCGTGGCAATTTTGGATGATAATGCTCAAGAGTGGCAACATGGACACACAAGCTGCTGTATGCCCTGAAAACGGAAAAAAGACAGAACCCTTTTCACCACAGCCTAGGTTTCCATGCTTCGGACAAGGGTGCATGAACATGCCATTGATATACCATAACTACACGACACTACAAGGAGAAGAAGGAAACAATTCTCTTAGGGGAAGTTTCTATGGGACATGGGATTTGGATGCTGATGTTACAAAAGCAGCCACCGAAAATGACAGTTCCTATCATTCAGTCACTTGGGAGAAGGAGGTTGGAACGGGAAGTTGGCTTTTTCATCATGTCTTGAAGACGTCATCAAAATACCCTTGGTTGATGCTATACTTAAGGTCAGATGCAACATCAGGGCTATCCAGCGGGTATCATTATCAGACAAGAGGGATGTCAAAAATTGTAAGTTTGTTCTATCCAAATATTTGGCATATAGCATCAATAGAGAGTCCAGGAGTGAATGGTAGATAAAATTGGATCAAATATATGCATTATATGCTTCAAACCCAAAAGCGGGATCTTTAATTCTATCTGCGTAAATGGATCCAACCAAAAAATAACTCTCTTTGACTCATTCACAGTGTTTGTGCTTTCATGTTTTAAAAATATTCTTTACCCACCACTTCAAATAGATGGAATCATAATTTTTTGAACTTAGCTTGATAATTTTTATGCAATTCTTTTTTTCCCACCAAGGTGCCGAAGTCACCGAATTTCAAAGTGAGATTCACCCTAGATATAAAGCACGGAGGGGGTCCAAAAAGCCAGTTCTACCTGATGGACATCGGAAGCTGTTGGAAGAACAATGGGCAGCCTTGTGATGGGGACGTGACAACGGATGTGACCAGATACAGCGAGATGATCATAAACCCGAATATAGACTCCTGGTGCAACCCAAACAACCTTGGGTCCTGCCCGCCTTATCACACCCTTCCAAGTGGAGTTCGTATCCATAGAACAGATAAAGATAACTATCCCTACGGGGCTTATCATATTTATTGCGCTCCAGGCAATGCTGAAAGTCCTGAGGAGCCCTATAACTTCTGTGATTCATATAGCAATCCTCAACCTCAGGAAATTCTGCAAATTCTCCCTCACCCAGCTTGGGGACAATACGGATACCCAACAAAGAAGGGAGAGGGTTGGGTTGGGGATAAAAGAACTTGGGAACTTGATGTTGGAAGACTATCTCAATCACTTTATTTCTATCAGGTATGCATTGCTTTCTACATCCTTACTTCTCTAAACCTCAGGAAATTTGAATTGTAACTTTTCTTGGTGGTTTCATGATGGTGCAGGATCCTGGCACTGAACCTGTGGAGAGACATTGGCCATCAATTGACCTGGGAACTGAAATATACATGAGCGGTAACCAAGTTGCTGAGTGGACGGTTAGTGACTTCGACATTATCATTCCAAGAGATGATAATTAGCAATCTTATTGGCAAATCATCACAAGATCATAATTTCCTTGCATATTAGAGATGTGGAAGTTGCACCACCCAAGGCAAATAAAAAACATAGTTTGAGTTTTATGGATTAGTGATGTATGGATTTCTAGGCTTGAATCTATAGCACTTTTGAATTTTCTCCCTTTTTCCCCTTCTTTTTATCCCTTTTCTTCCCTTTTTCTTCTTCCTCTTCTTGTTCTTGATTCTACCAGCAAGTTCTTCATTTTGTTTGATTAAGGGACATGAGATTCTATAATTTGTAACTAGGGCAAAAGTTGCAACATCATTCAGTGGGTTTAGTTTCAGTTTTTTGAATTTAGTTGAGTTTTTTGTTTTTCGTATAAATTTTTTTGGGTTTCTGGTATTTAGTGACTTGATTAAATTTTTTTTTTTCACAAATATTATACTTTTTAAGTATATTTATTTTAGGTGTGTCTAAATTTTTTTAAAAAATGCTTAAAATATTAAAAAATTCATTGAATACAAAAAATAAAAAAGTAGAATTTTCTAAAAAGTGTTTTTTGGAAACCAAAACCAAACAAGCTTATTAATTTGCTAATTCTTACTACTTTGGTTAAATGATCTAAGTTATAACTAATTAACCAAACTCATGTTTAACCCTACTTAAACTAATTAATCATACTTAATTAACACTTGTGGTTATCAATGTTGTTTCATTTTGAATAATATATTGTAAATGTTAGAAAAATAACTTGCTATGATGTTTGTTATGGAACGATGTGATTATGTTACTATGTTTTGGTGTGATGCATTGTTATGGAACCATGTGATTATGTTATCATTCCAAGAGATGATAATTAGCAATGTTATTGGCAAATCATCACAAGATCATAATTTCCTTGCATATTGGAGATGTGGGAGTTGCATCACCCAAGGCAAATAAAAAACAGAGTTTTAGTTTTATGGATTAGTGATGTATGGATTTCTAGGCTTGAATCTATAGCACTTTTGAATTTTCTCCCTTTTCCCCCTTCTTTTTATCCCTTTTCTTCCCTTCTTCTTCTTCCTCTTCTTGTTCTTGATTCTACCAGCAAAGTTCTTCATTTTGTTTGATTAAGGGACATGAGATTCTATCATGTGTAACTAGGGCAAAAGTTGCAGTGGGTTTAGTTTTAGTTTTCTAAATTTAGTTTCCTAGAAATTGAGTTTTTTATTTTTCGCATATTTTTTTTTGTATTTTTGGTATTTAGTGACTTGGTTAAAGATTTCTTTTTTCACAAATATTATACTCTTTAAGTGCATTTATGTTAGGTGTGTCTAAATTTTTTTAAAAAATGCTTAAAATATTAAAAAATTCATTGAAAACAAAAAAATACAAAAAATAAAAAAGTAGAATTTTTTAAAAAGTGTTTTTTGGAAACCAAAACCAAACCAGCTTATTAATTTGCTAACTCTTAACTTGGTTAAATAATCTAAGTTATAACTAATTAACCAAACTCATGTTTAACCCTACTTAAACTAATTAATCATACTTAATTAACACTTGTGGTTATCAACACTGTTTTGTTTTGAATAATATATTGTAAATGTTAGAAAAATTACTTGTTATGATGTTTGTTATGGAACGATGTGACTATGTTACTATGTTTTGGCGTGATGCATTGCGGTATGCACATTTTTAAGAATGCACCCCTATAAGTTATGTTATAATTTTAATCAAATTTTATGTCACTGGAGGTTTAAAAAAAATTACAGATTAATGATAAATATTACAAATGTTAAAATATAAAATGAGAAATTATTCCATTATTTAGTAATTAATTTTTTGACAATTACGCATTTCCCCCTTTAAAGAATTGTTAAAACAGTAGTCAATTGCAAAACCATATGATTTTGGATGTGTGCTTAATTTTTGGCTTAATGAATAATGCTATATGCACGTATGATGTGATATAATTTTAAAACTTTTGGATCGTTGTAATTTGTATAATAAATGGGGTCATAGTTTTAAAATAATAATATGTTGGTACATTAAGTAGTATATCAATTGGTGCGTATCATTTAATGTTGGAAAATATTTTTTTTAAAAATATTTTGAAAATATAAAAAAATATTAAAACTCCTTAATTTTATAACTTTATTTTTATAATACCCAAACTATAAGATTGAATATATTTTTTTCTTCAAGATTTTCTTATAAAATTTTCTTCCAAATCACATGTAACAAAAATATTAAAATTTTCTTAAAAAAAAAATTATCCTTTTGATTGAACTTTCTGCCATTTTGTTTTGGAGAAATATCAAGTGGTATTTGAAAAAATAATTACAAATCAGTGATTTTTTTATTTATTTATAAATATTAATAATTAAATTTTTGATTGAATTTGTATTTGGGTGTAATTACTTACCCATTTTGTGTAATGACCAAAGAGCAACTCCAACCACATTATTTATTTTTCACTAGCTAAAGTATAAAAAAGTACACTATTTATTTTACCAATTAGTTTAGGTATTGTGTATTTCAACCATACTTTTTATTTTAGCTAGTTATTCAAACTGGAGAAATGGAAAATGGTTTGTACCCTCCCCAAGTGGGAGCTGATTGGCCCATTTTTCTCTTCTTTTTTTTTTTCCTTCAATGACCAACCCCCACGTGTGTGTGGGGGTGGTGGGGATAGGAAAACATTGGGGGTCTGAATCAAAGTTGCTGGAGAAATATCATTTTCACATAAATGTTGATATTGCATACAATCTGTATTTATAGACAAATAGCTAATGCTTGAGCTAAGCAGGTAACTCAAGGCTAACAATGTGACTAACTCCTAACAACTCTTAACAGATAGCTAACCAATTCCTAACTAGCTCAAGTCTAACAATGTAACTAACTCCTAACAGATAGCTAACCAATTCCTAACTGACTACATGACGCATATGCAGCTGAAGCTAAAGCTCTGTTCTTGACAGCTGGAGAAGCAACTACTGAAACGGCTGATGCATCTGAACTAATATCCTTATCACCACTTAACCAATTTTCAAAACAAAAAATGCTATATATATTACTGTCCAGTTCCGCTACAGACCCCTAGTGAAACATGACCCCCAAGACTCCCAGTGAGTTGGCAGCTGATGTAGAAAAAGGATGTATACACGCATGCAGCTGTGAAAAAAGAAAAAAGAAAAAAAAAATGGATATAGCGGGAGCCCAAACCCAAATTTCTGTGTATGCCCCTCTCAAAGATTTTAACAATTTTAGATTATTCCTTGAAGCTTGTTGATTTGCTTTTCCAGTCTCACCACATCTCTTTTAATCTTTCTTCTCTTTTTTTTTTCCCTTCTTTTCTTTTCTTGCTTAGAGAAAGAGAGAGAGAGAGAGAGAGAAATCACCAGACTTTCCCACCTTTTTTTTTTTTTTTTTTTTCACAACAATCACCAGACTTTTCTGGATTCCTCAAGAAGGGGGGGTTGGCTATTGCAAAAAAAAAAAAAAAGTATTCTGATTCCTTTCTAATGCTTTTTGATTTAAGACAGACACTGCCATTGTAAAATCTCCACCTCTCTCTCTCTATTCCCCCCATTTGGGTCCTCTGTTTTTGTAATGACCCCGACCTTCGATTAATGCTAATTCATGATTAATTATGCTTAACAGTAATTTAGGAAGGATTTGGGATTTAATTGCATGTGTATTGCATTATTTATGTGTTTCTATTTGTTTGCCATAAAATGATCTGTTCATGTCTTTAACTTTAAACTGCGAATTGAAAGCCTTATCGGCGTCCGAATCAGAAATTGACTTGATTTATGTGCTAGTTAGGATTTATAGAATTTTATGGTAGGTTTAATTAAAATTTGATTTGGAATGATTAAATTAGATTAAATAATGCTAGATGAAACATAGATTTAGTGAATGCTCGTAATTACATTTTTGCCCCTTAGTGGGCCACTTTGTTCAATCTTTGATTAGGAGCTTTTGATTCATTTCCTCAGCCATTTTTGGGACCAAGAAAAACGTAGGAGAGTGGGAGAGGAGGAAATTAAGTTCAACAAAGTTTTGGCTTGGAACTTGTAGAATTGTAGAATATTGCATAATTTGAGCTCCTAAACTTGAAATTGAAGACATAAGGTAGAGAATTCATCTTCTCCATTGTGATTTTGATTCACTTCTTGCATGGTTCATGGTGAACTAGAGTTTAGAGTCAAGTTTTGGTTCTAAATGTTGAATTGAGTAGGAATTCTTGCATGCATGTGTATATCATGAAGTTTGAGGTTGTTTTCATAGAAATTCTTGCGTGCATGTCCACATTTTTGTTATAGTCCATGAACTCACCATGTTTTGAAGTTAAATCTTGCATTTGATCTTGTTTTAGAACTTTGGAGCTTCAAGGAACCCATGCATGTGTTGAATTTGCATTGTTCTTCATGTTCTTGAAGTTTATGTTGAAATTGTGTTCAATTGACTTACCTTTGGGCTTGATTTTACAAAATTGATCTTCAAAACATGTCATACTATGAGTTTACAAATGTTTTCCAGAAAATTAGCCCAAAAGGATCGAATTTGATGCATTGTAATTGAGTTTTGAGCTAGAGGTTCAAATCTGGAAATTTCAGATTTTGGACTTACGCTCGAGCGGGGAAAGTTACGCTCGAGCGGGAATTTTATGCATCCAGTACTTTTACTGTAGCTTGCAGTCCGCTCAAGCAGAGTAATCCACGCTCGAGCGGATTTCTTTTGTCTGCATGTCCGCTTGAGCGTAGAAGGCCACGCTCGAGCGAGACCCCTGTTTCAGCAAAATTTTGAAAAGTGTTTTAAAGTGCACCTTTGCATCCTCATTCCATCCTAGGCATTCCTAGGCCATGTTTAAGACTCTATAGTGAGGGTAAGAGATTAGAAACACACTAAGAGCCAATATGACGCTCGAGCAGGAATTTCGTGTATCCAGTGCTTTGCCTATGTTTACAGTCTGCTCGAGCGGGGTAATGCACGCTCGAGCGAGGATGCTCCATCTGTCTGTCTCCAAGCCCACTGTGAGTAATAACTCTGTAAAGTTATGTTTAACCTAAGTATTTTCTGACTGGTATGGTATAATCTGTTTTCTGAAATGCTATCTTACTAATGATGAATGAATGTCCAATTTTCTGAAAAGTATTTGTGGCACCCTTAGTCCATGTGGCCCTCGCCCGGGGGTAACAATACCGCGGCCAATTTTTATGTGGCCCTCGCCCGGGTGTAACAATACCGCAGCCAATTTGCACGTGGCCCTTGCCTGGGGGTAACAATACCATGGCTACTTGCGCGCAAGATATGGACCTTTATGGTCGTTGGTACCAACTATGTATGTGGGTCTCTAGACCAATCTGTTCTGATAGCTAATGGGTGTACCATGTATGATCTTATGCAAAATCTGAATATAAAAATGTATATGAATCTGTTTCTGTTTTGAAGTCTGATTATGCTCTAATTTAAATGCTGGATTCTAACTTGTGCTGGACATCATTCATATAACCCCTTTACCCTGTTATTATTCACTGGGCTTTCACTCACAGTTTATATTATGTATGTAGGTAAGCCGACACATGACCAGGGCCAAAGTTGAAGGCCCTCTGTACCGTTTTGTCAGCCAACCCTTGTGCCTCCCGAGGAGGTTCCGATTGAAGTTTAATGCCAAGGCTGTTTTTCTTTTCATGCTAGTCTCTGTAACTATTTGTAAAGTCAGATCTTGGGAAGTTCACTTCTGTAAATATTTTGTAAATATTGTGTATCTAGACTGACATGTTTATATATATATATATATATATAAGTAAGTTTTGAAATGTTCTGTCCCATGTACGTTATCACAGCTCATTGGACCTTGTCTACTTTGTATTATTGCTTCCGCAGCCCCTTAATATTTGTTAATCTGTTCAAAAGCGTTTGGTAATCCACGGATTACTGGCCGGTTACGGTGCTAAACCTATAAGGGCGGGTTTGGGTCGTGACAATTTTTCTTTTGTTTCCAAATTTTCTTTTCCTGGATGAATTCCCATTAAATTGTAGAGAGTCTTGTGTATTTTTGAGCTCAAACTCAGATGAGATGAAGTGGGGGATGAAGATTTTGTCGCCAGCATCCTATCTTTTCGACTTGAATTGGTTGTTTGAAGAGACCAGGAGCACAAATTGGATCTCTGCAGAGAGCGGCAACCATGATACCGAGAAAGAGGGTGAGGGATGTGAGGAAGCAATACAAGGAATTGGACGATGTGACTACCCCACCACATATAATGATTAGCACATAATTAATTAAGGAGATTTGAAAATTAATTATTAATTATTTTAATTTAATTTGGGATTTATGAAAATTATAGAGATTGATTCATATATGATTCTATTGAGAATTTACTTTGGAATTAGAAATTGAAAGTCTAAATGGCTTAATAAAGTACAAATGATGAATTGAATTATTTTAATTTCGAGTATCGGACCATATGGGAGTTTAATTAAATATTCGATTCAGATTTATAAAATTGAGATTTGATTAATTGGATTCGAATTGGAGTTAATCAAGTTATACGAATAAGGAATTAAGATTATTATGAATTGAATTTATTTATGAGGTGTTCAATTGAGTATGTAATTTATTGACAAAAAATTTTTGTTTCATTTGAAATTGAAAGCCTTATTGATGTGAGAAACCAAAATTGAGGATAGAAATAAGTTTAATTTAATATTTGGAGTCTTTTGGGAATTTGAATAAAAATCTGATTCAGAATGAGAAATTATATATAATTAATTGGGTCTTAATAGAAGTTAAATTAGATTAATTAAATTATGTGGGACTTATGATTCATTATGATTAGTTAACTTATGTGCTAATCAAGATGTACTAAGGTCATGTATTGCCTAATTAAGTTAATTTTTAATCATAAATTGAATAATCTAGAATCGAGAGTGTAATGGGTGTGGGTGTAGTGAGCAAATGTGTGTTGTGTGTATGTGAGTGATGTGTTGGAAATCAAGGATGAGTGCACGTGTGCAATGTAAAGAGTGGAGTGTGTGTGTTGTATTGATTTCATTAAGTGAAAAAGTGGGTTCATTTACAAAAGAAACTGTGTGAGAGAGACAGAGAGTTGAAGTCAAGAATGAAGAAGTGTGTGTGTGTTGGAGAAGTGTGAAAGTTAAACAAAAAAGAAAAGAAAAGAAAGAGGCTTGAGTTCAAGTTCAAGAGAAGAAAAAGAAGAAAAAAGGGTGAAGTGCAAAGAAGAGACTCAATCTTCAACAAGAAATTCAACAAATCAAAGCTTTAGGTAAGAAATTAAAGATTAAATCTTGTAGATAAGTCACCTAATAGCTTAAATTAAGGAGTAATTGGGTTCAATTGTGTATAATTAAAAAGAATTAGCAAGAAGATGAAGAAAAATTGAGTTGCGTGTAAGGTTATGGAAATAAACATGGAAATTAATTATTTTTGGTTTAATGTTAAAAATCTTGCATGAATTTGGGTCTCATTTTTACATGCATGTAATTTAGAAGAATTAAAGAATAAATATGGAAATAATTGTAGGAATTCTTCAAATTGAGTTTGGGTTTGTGAACCTTAATATATATATGAGATGTATATTTGCATGCACTATGAGTTTTGAAAGGATTTAAGCCATGTAAGTTTATTATACATTTGATTTTGAAGAAAAGCTTGGAAACCATGAGTTCATGAAAATATGGATTTTGATTTTGATTATTAACCCATGCATGTAATGTAATTTAAGAGTTTTATTTAATTTAAACAAATTTTGGAATATATTAAATTAGTTAGTTTTATTTGAATTATATATATTCAATGTTTTTGCTAGGAAATTGACAAGAAAATGAAGAATTGGAGTTAAGATCAAGTTTATAAAGTTAAATTAGAAATTAATTATTTTTGGTTTAATTTGGAAAGTTATTGTTAAATTAAGCTCCATAAATTACATGCAACAAAGATTTTATTGAAGATTGATCATGGCTCATAATTATTTTCATGTTTTGATGAAATTTTGCATGAGTTTTGGACATGAGATTGGGTTTTAAAAGCTTAATTTATGTTTTAGAATTTATGAGGTTGAAATTGAGCTTGATAGGAAGAAAATGAATGAAATTTCAATTTGGACAATATGGAAATAAATTATAATTTATATTTGAGAATAAAAACATTAGTTTGATTTAGATTTAAATTTCATACATCCAAATATTTTTGAAAGGACTCTATAGATTCAATTTTAAGTTTCATTAAACAAAGATAGAATTGAAAGATGTACTAAGGTCATGTGTTGCCTAATTAAGTTAATTTTTAATCATAAATTGAATAATCTAGAATTGAGAGTGTAATGGGTGTGGGTGTAGTGAGCAAATGTGTGTTGTGTGTGTATGTGAGTGATGTGTTGGAATTCAAGGATGAGTGCACGTGTGCAATGTAAAGAGTGGAGTGTGTGTGTTGTATTGATTTCATTAAGTGAAGAAGTGGGTTCATTTACAAAAGAAACTGCGTGAGAGTGACAGAGAGTTGAAGTCAAGAATGAAGAAGTGTGTGTGTTGGAGAAGTCTGAAAGTTAAACAAAAAAGAAAAGAAAAGAAAAGAAAAGAAAGAGGCTTGAGTTCAAGTTCAAGAGAAGAAAAAGAAGAAAAAAGGGTGAAGTGCAAAGAAGAGACTCAATCTTCAACAAGAAATTCAACAAATCAAAGCTTTAGGTAAGAAATTAAAGATTAAATCTTGTAGATAAGTCACCTAATAGCTTAAAATAAGGAGTAATTGGGTTCAATTGCGTATAATTAAAAAGAATTAGCAAGAAGATGAAGAAAAAATGAGTTGCGTGTAAGGTTATGGAAATAAACATGGAAATTAATTATTTTTGGTTTGATGTTAAAAATCTTGCATGAATTTGGGTCTCATTTTTACATGCATGTAATTTAGAAGAATTAAAGAATAAATATGGAAATAATTGTAGGAATTCTTCAAATTGAGTTTGGGTTTGTGAACCTTGATATATATATGAGATGTATATTTGCATGCACCGTGAGTTTTGAAAGGATTTAAGCCATGTAAGTTTATTATACATTTGCTTTTGAAGAAAAGTTTGGAAACCATGAGTTCATGAAAATATGGGTTTTGATTTTGATTATTAACCCATGCATGTAATATAATTTTAAGAGTTTTATTTAATTTAAACAAATTTTGGAATATATTAAATTAGTTAGTTTTATTTGAATTATATATATTCAATGTTTGCTAGGAAATTGACAAGAAAATGAAGAATTGGAGTTAAGATCAAGTTTATAAAGTTAAATTAGAAATTAATTATTTTTTGGTTTAATTTGGAAAGTTATTGTTAAATTAAGCTCCATAAATTACATGCAACAACGATTTTATTGAAGATTGATCATGGCTCATAATTATCTTCATGTTTTGATGAAATTTTGCATGAGTTTTGGACATGAGATTGGGTTTTAAAAGCTTAATTTATGTTTTAGAATTTATGAGGTTGAAATTGGGCTTGATATGAAGAGAATGAATGAAATTTCAATTTGGACAATATGGAAATAAATTATAATTTATATTTGAGAATAAAAACATTAGTTTGATTTAGATTTACATTTCATACATCCAAATATTTTTGAAAGGGCTCTGTAGATTCAATTTTAAGTTTCATTAAACAAAGATAGAATTGAAAGATGTACTAAGGTCATGTGTTGCCTAATTAAGTTAATTTTTAATCATAAATTGAATAATCTAGAATTGAGAGTGTAATGGGTGTGGGTGTAGTGAGCAAATGTGTGTTGTGTGTGTATGTGAGTGATGTGTTGGAATTCAAGGATGAGTGCACGTGTGCAATGTAAACAGTGGAGTGTGTGTGTTGTATTGATTTCATTAAGTGAAGAAGTGGGTTCATTTACAAAAGAAACTGTGTGAGAGAGACAGAGAGTTGAAGTCAAGAATGAAGAAGTGTGTGTGTTGGAGAAGCCAGAAAGTTAAACAAAAAAGAAAAGAAAAGAAAAGAAAAGAAAAAAAAAAAAAAAGAAAATGCAAAAAACAAAAAAAATCAAAAAGAAATGAAAAGAAATATGAGATGTATATTTGCATGCACCATGAGTTTTGAAAGGATTTAAGCCATGTAAGTTTATTATACATATGATTTTGAAGAAAAGCTTGGAAACCATGAGTTCATGAAAATATGGGTTTTGATTTTGATTATTAACCCATGCATGTAATGTAATTTAAGAGTTTTATTTAATTTAAGCAAATTTTAGAATATATTAAACTAGTTAGTTTTATTTGAATTATATATATTCAATGTTTTTGCTAGGAAATTGACAAGAAAATGAAGAATTGGAGTTAAGATCAAGTTTATAAAGTTAAATCAAAAATTAATTATTTTTGGTTTAATTTGGAAAGTTATTGTTAAATTAAGCTCCATAAACTACATGCAACAAAAATTCTATTGAAGATTGATCATGGCTCATAATTGTTTTCATGTTTTGATGAAATTTTGCATGAGTTTTGGACATGAGATTGGGTTTCAAAAGCTTAATTTATGTTTTAGAATTTATGAGGTTGAAATTGGGCTTGATATGAAGAGAATGAATGAAATTTCAATTTGGACAATATGGAAATAAATTATAATTTATATTTGAGAATAAAAACATTAGTTTGATTTAGATTTACATTTCATACATCCAAATATTTTTGAAAGGGCTCTGTAGATTCAATTTTAAGTTTCATTAAACAAAGATAGAATTGAAAGATGATTTTTTTTAAACGTGAAATCCAAGGTTTAAATGTGAATTAAAATTATAGAATTTTGAAGTATTAGTGGAATTAACTTTAACGCTGTGTTTGGTTAGGGGATTTGGGAAGGGCTTTGGAAAAGAAAAAGGAAAAGGTGTGTGGAATTAGGTGAAATGTTGGTATATTTTATTTACATTTCACTTACCATTTCTATTTTCCTTTCCAAATCTCTCTTCAAATCCCCTCACCAAACACACCATAAATAATTGTAATTGGGAATGTTTTTGCATATTCGAGTGAGTCATGCGTGAATTTGGAGCCTTAGTAATGTGTTTTGAAGTTTAAACAAGTTCTGAAAAACCCAGAATTCGTCACCATCGCTCGAGCGAAGAAGTTGTCACTCGAGCGTAGAATGCAAGCAACTAGTATTTTTGCAGACCAAGGGGGCCGCTCGAGCGACCAATGTTACGCTCAAGCGAAGATTCCTGTTTCAGAAATTTTGAAAAGTCGTTTCATATTTTGATTTCCGTTCTCTTTCACTTCCAAGCATTCTTAGGCAAAAATTATGACTCATCAAGATTAATAAACTATCAATCAACATAAATTAGTTGGTTAAAGAATAAGTCATTGACTTAGTAATAATTGATTAAGATGGCAAGTAAGAAATCGATCTATTAAAAAATGACTTAATAATAAAAGAATATGTGAAATAAGAATCCGATTCATTTGAATAAAGGAAGAATACACGTAGTAGAATCTCGGACTACTTAGACAAAAAAAGACAAGAAAAGTCAATCTTGATCAAGGAATTGATATTGTGTTTCAATGTGTATATGTTATGTGTTTGTGTAGGTTACGCGTTATTGTCTGCCTGATCTGTGATCTGTCTGATCTGCTTTTGCAGCTATCTGTGAGTAATAACTTAGTAAAACTATGTTCAACTTTATTTACTTTCTGTATGATAAAATAAGATATGTTTTCTGAAATGCTATGTTCTATACAATGAATGATTGTCCAAGTTCTGATAATGCATTCGTGGCATCCCTAGCATCATGTGATATCTATTAGCTGTTACCCGATATTGGTGGTTCCATGATGGAACTTATTATGTCTGGCATTTGTTACCCGTACCAGAGGCTCCACCATGGGGTTCAGTATATCTGTTATCTGTTACCTGGATCCGAAGGTTCCTTTATGGAACTGGTTACTCATAACCACCATATGTTCTGCATCTGCTCTGTATCTGTTCTGTTAGCGCTAATGGATGTACCACGTATGCTTAAGCATGAACTCTAATATCTATATATGATTTGGACAAGATTATGAATATGGATCTGCTTCTTTTTTTGAAATAAATAGGAATCTGTTTTCTGAAGCTAATATGGGACATCATTCATTAAAACCATTTACTTTGTTATTATTCATTGGGCTTCGGCTCACTGTATTATTTATGTATGTAGGTGATCAGGCGCGTGACCAGGCTCAGAGGCATCTGCCTGGAATCTGTTTTTGTCAGCCACCTATGTGTCTCCCATGGAGGTTCCGAATATATCAAGTGGTTATGGCTACACGATTTAAAGTTTAAGCTTTGTTTTCTTGTTTAGTTAAACAAGTCTTTTTGTATTTTGTAAATAGGGTTAAGTCATTTTTTGTTTAATCTGTATATATATGACGACGTAAGAATGATATGTATATATGTATATAAAAGTTTAAAAATTTTCTGTCTCATACAAGCCTGTACAGCTCAATGGACGTTGTATATTTGTTATTTGCTTCCGCTAGCCCTTAATATTATGTTAATCTGTCTCAGAGGCCTTCGATAATCCCATGATTACTGCCCGGTTACGATACGAAACCTATAGGGGCGAGTTTGGGTCGTGACAGAGGATGATGTTAGTAGTATAAAAACAGGTTTGGTTCCAAATCCTTGGGGCAAGTCGTCCCCTTTTACATTGGAATAGGGAAATAGTCATGGAATTTGTGGGTTCAACCAGTCATATAGTCTCGTCGGAAAGCAATCCTTTTAATTGTCCTTGGTCAGATGAGAAGGAAAGAGAGATAGAGAGAGTCGAGAGTCCAGTGTTGGGAGTCCGGAGTTGGAGTCAAGGGAAGGAGGGAGTCGGGTGTCGGAGTGAATGGAATGAGTTATCGCAACCTCGATCGTTGGAGTCAAGGAAAGGAGGAAGAGGTAGAGAGATCTATCTGTGTTTGGGAGAGATTTTGAATTCTTAAGTGTGGGGTCTATGACACACGTGCATATCACGTGACTTTCCACATCAGCTGAGGGTGGGTGGGGGTCAACCTAACTGGGGTTCAGAGCATTTTTCTATTACTGTCTTTTTCATGGAATGTCACGTACTCACCAAATGCTAATACGGTTGCCAATGTGACATTTGCGATAATATTTTTAAAAAAACTTTGCTTGGTTACACTTTTCCAAAAATAATTTTCAGAAAATTCTATTTTCTTGTTTTTCGTATTTTTTTTGTTTTTACTGAATTTTTTTTTAATATTTTAAGCAATTTTTTTTTAATACTTTTTAGACATACTTAACATAAATATAGCTAAAAAGTAAAAAATTTGTAAAAAAACCTTTTAAAAATTCACTAAATACCAAAAATACAAAAAAAAAAATGAGAATTCAGTACATTTTTTTATATTTTTATGTATTTATTAATTTTTTAAAATATTTTTTCACAAATTTTTTACTTTTTAGATACATCCAAGTAAGGTGCATCTAAAAAGTAAAAAAAAAATGTTTAAAATTTTAAAATATTTACTAAAAAAAAAATGAAAACAAAAAAACTCAATTTTCAAAAAACTTAATTCAAAAAACTCAAACCAAACACACTCACATATTTTTTAATATTAATTTTAAAAATATTATAAGAAAATAATTTTGAATTTATGAACTTTTTGATTGAATTTGTTTCTGGGTCCCTTTATAAATATTAATAATTAAAGCGGGAAGAGCTTGGCACAGCAATGACGAACTACGCCAAACTCACTTCAGCAATTACGTCAGCCAATTTCCACGCACCCACACTTCTATATAAATAAATGAAGGAATACCCCAGTACACTTACTTGATACCCATTCTCTCTTTCTCTCCCTGCATTTCTCTGGAAACTCTGCCTAACAATACAAAGTAGAAATTTGGTGGTAAATTAATGGCGAAATCAGCAGAGGAAGTACACCCAGTGAAGTCATTTGGATGGGCTGCCAGAGACGACTCTGGTATTCTTTCTCCCTTCACATTCTCAAGAAGGTACTTTCATTATTGTCTCTCTCCTTTTTTTAAAAAATTTTTAAGTTACTTTATATATAATTCAGGCAATTCGTAAGCAACAAAAAAGAATCGGATTCGTTCGTTGTTTTGTGCTTACTGATAATCTATGATGATAACGAGTGAAGTTGGATCTATATAATGTAATTGTGGATTATGATGATGTTTGCAGGGCAACAGGGGCTGAAGACGTGAGGTTCAAAGTGTTGTATTGTGGTATCTGTCACACTGACCTTCATCAACTTAAAAATGAATGGGGTGGCTCCAATTATCCCCTCGTCCCCGGGTATGAAACTTGCACCTCCCCCCCTCTCTCTGTCTCTCCCTGTATATATGTATAATTACAGTGAACTTATGGAATGGAAGTTTTGAGTCAACTAATATAGAGAAATATTGGTGGAGCTGGTTCTGTTATTTTCTAGTTTGAAGTCTTTGTTTCTAACATGAAAACACAACCCACTGGGTAACTTAAATTGGCCATGAAATTGCTTTTGCAAATCAAAGTGTGCTCAAATTCAACACCCCCAGATAATGTCACTGCACATAGCAATGCCACTTCTATCTCTACTGTTATCGGTTCCTCTAGTTAATCATCTGGATTTATATAGATAAGGAAATTTTGATCATTTCATTCATTACTTTACTTGTGATATCTTCATTGTCAACTCAATTAAGGCACGAGATTGTGGGTGTTGTGACTGAAGTCGGGAGCAAGGTTCAAAAGTTCAAAATTGGGGACAAAGTTGGGGTGGGGTGCATGGTTGGAGCATGTCACTCGTGCGACAACTGTGCCAACGATCTTGAAAATCACTGTCCCAAGGCCATACCTGCTTACAATGGCACCTACCACGATGGAACAACTACGTATGGAGGTTACTCTGATCACATGGTCACTAATGAGCATTTCGTGATCCACATTCCAGAAAACATGCCTCTTGATGCTGCTGCTCCTCTCCTTTGTGCTGGGATCACAACTTATAGTCCCTTGAAATATTATGAACTTGGCAAGCCTGGTATGCATGTGGGGGTGGTGGGTTTAGGTGGCCTTGGCCATGTGGGTGTGAAGTTCGCAAAAGCTTTGGGTGCTAAGGTGACTGTGATTAGTACATCCCCTAACAAGAAGAAAGAAGCCATTGAACATCTTGGTGCTGATTCATTTTTAGTCAGTCAAGATCCTGATCAGATGCAGGTAACAAATTTTATTGTTTATGTTGTTATGCACTTATAATGTTTGTTTGTGTTCTTATGTTGGCATGTTGAATGTGCATAGGCGGCCATGGGCACAATGGATGGTATCCTTGATACAGTATTCGCAGATCATTCTCTCTTGCCGTTGCTTGGTCTGTTGAAGTCTCATGGAAAGCTCATCATGCTTGCCGCACCGAACAAGCCCCTGGATCTGCCTGCCTTTCCTCTGCTTATGGGTAAATATTTGACACTACTAATTTGTTACATGAATTCAAAGTGGATTATAAACCGACATTGCCCGGTGGAAATCATTTCTAAATTTGAATGTGGAATGACAGGAAGGAAGTTGGTGGGTGGAAGTACCATTGGAGGGTTGAAGGAGACACAAGAAATGATTGATTTTGCAGCTAAACACAACATAACAGCAGATATTGAGGTCATTTCGATGGACTATGTGAACACTGCAATGGAACGTCTTGAAAAAGTTGATGTCAAATACCGGTTTGTCATTGACGTTGCCAACACTTTGAAAGCTGCCTAGTTTGCCAATGTAGCTCCTAGACGTTGTCTTCTTTTGATACTATCATTAATATGTAGTTTGCCAATGTAGCTCTTGAACGCTGGCTTCTCTTTTGATACTGTCATTAATATGTAGTTTGCCAATGTAGCTCCAAAACATTGACTTCTTTTGATACTGCCATTAATACTGTCAAAGAGAAATTAAGGTACTTGTATTATCTATCTTCTATCGCTGGTGTCACAGCATGTGACATCTCAGTTTGAATACATAAATACAAGTTTTGATGGTAAAAGTTTATAACCTTGGAAATGACGAATTAGTATAGTGAGAGGGTAATTTGTGAACAAATTGGGCCGAGCTAGGAAAAGTCTTCTTTGGAAGTTAAGCAACGCAATGGCCCGAGATAAGAGCTGATGTAGCTCGGTCTTGGGCTAAGAAGACACTAGGTCGGTCAGAGATGGGTTGTAAGGGCTTGGACCTAGCTATCTGAAGGTAGTCTTTTATCGGACCAAGATGTTGTCAATGGAGAGTGCCGAGTTATGTGTAGCTCGGCAGGGTGCAATTCGGTAAATAGGCTTACGGTCACATGGGCCGAACGACAGAGGACCGAGATACGGCAGCTCGGTCAAGAATGTATATCCGAGCATAAGGGAGTGGCCATCTCACTAGGCTTGCAATGATGAGGGTGTTCTAAGGATAAACATTATCCTTGGGCATGAGTCTCCTAGGAGGACTCTGCTAAGGAGAGTTAGAGTCCTATTGGAATTGTGCAAACCATCTCACTTGGTTGGTAGTGAGTAGAGTGTTATCAGGATAGACACTCTTCACTGGGAGTGTGATTCCTAGAAGGACTCTTATAAGGAGAGTTGGAATCCTACTAGGATTGTGTGAGGCAAAATCTATAAAAGCTCATAGCAGGACCTTTGTACAGGTATCACAATTCTTACTCTAGAATACACAGAGCTTATTGTCTATTGTCTAGTTGTTGACTTAGGCATCAGAGGGGTTTCCGGCACACACTTGCCGGTTAGCTCACGTTTGTGTTTTCAGGTAGCAAACCAACATTGTTTGAAGGAGTGCAAACTTGATCAACAGGATTATACGAGAAGATTATTTCTATGCTCATACAATTGGCATCGTCTGTAGGAAAAACAATTACAAAGAACAAACCTCTTGATAAAGTTTTTTTTCAACTGATTTCAATGGCTCACAATGAAGATTTGCCGCAATCTACTATTGATGGGCAAACCCCAGAGAGGGGTGGGAGACCCAAAGGCTTACTTTTTATCCCACCCATGGCAGAGTTAGATTCCTAGTGACGGAACCCCCGGAGGGATACACGGGAAAGATGGGGCTCCAGTCCTCGTCGCTCCTAAAGTCCTGAAAGGTAGAGCCAGAGGTTGGATCCTCAGGTTCTGGAGGATCGCGTGAGGGAGCAAGACGAATTGATTCGGAGGATGGCGGCAAATATGGAGACAACGAAGCGCCAGATAAAGGAAAAAATGGGCGGCAGAAGAAGAGGTGGGCAAGAGCAGAACGCACTCCCACCACTTAGAAGATCGTGATAGGCAAGTCATATCATCTCAGACGGAAAGTAGAAGCCTAAGGATAGGTGGTACACAATCACAAATCTCTAGGACTCGTTACTCAAGGTCTGAGAGAACGAGGACTAAAAGGTTTTACACGGAGGAAAACAATTATCGATCCTCACATAATCACCAAACCACCTCTTGGCACACCGAGCTGCCCAAATCGATGGATCTGCGAACTGTTCTGGAACAAAAGACGCGAATGAGGAAAGACGTCCAGGCCTATGACCCTTAAAGGATATCGACTCTACAACAGCTGGCACCTAGAACTTACAGAAGCATCGAGGTTAGAATACTTGTACCGTGCCTTGCCTACATACCAGCTAATAAGGCATTGGCAAGGTTGCAAAGCACGCCGCTCATTTCGGCAATAGAGAACACACCATTGCCCTAGGGCTTCAACCAGCCTAAGTTCGCAATTTACGAGGGAAGTTAGACCCCTACATGCACTTGAGTCACTTTTGCCAAGTTATGGCCATACATCAGCAGAACGAAGCTCTAATGTGCATCTTGTTTCCATCAAGCTTGGGTGACATGGGATTAAATTGGTTTGAAAAGTTGTCGGAAGGTAGCATCGCTTCATGGGTACAACTTACGGAGACGTTTGTCACCAGGTTTAAGACGAACACCAAGATGCCAGTCGAGGTAGATCAGTTGCTTACCATTGACATGGGCGAGAAAGAAACATTTGGGTATTGTGAAATCTTCAACCAGATAGACGATTATCCTACTAACCTAGCTATTGCACAGTACAATCGGGGTTTAACCACAGCGGTTTGCTTGTGGGTCATAAGTTAAGGGATTCAATGGCAATAACGTTGTCCCTTACTATGGAAGCCTTGATGGAAAAAGTGCACTAACACATCCAAGTAGAGGAAGATGGGGCGCATGCCAAGGCAAAGTCCAGCACAACACGATTTTGGACAAAAAGCCTTCAATGAAAGTTAACACGATCAACGAAAAGGACCAACCGCGCAATAATCTTTGCCCAACTGGGGGCAAAGTGGGTTGGTAGGTTTGACCAACTCTTTCTAACAAATCTTTGCCCAACAGGGGGCAAACGGGGTTGACAAGTTTGACCAACTCTTTCTAACAAACCTTTGCACAACTGGGATAAAGAAGGTTGGCAGGTTTAAGCAACAAATTTTCGCACTCTTTGATCTAGATGACAGTTATCTTGGTCAAAGTAGGTTGATAGGTTTGACTAACAAAATTTTACGCTTTTTGACTGGGATGACAGTTATCTCGGCCAAAGCAGTTTGGCAGGCTCGACCAACAAATTTTTACACTATTTGACCGTGATGACAGTTATCTCGCCCAAAGCAAGGTGGCAGGTTTGACTAACAAATTTTTACACTCTTTGACTAAGATGACAGTTATCTCAACCAAAATAGGTTGGCAGGTTTGACTAACAATTTTTTGTACTCTTTGACTGAGATGATAGTTATCTCGGCCAAAGCAGATTAGCAGGTTTGACCAACAAATTTTTGCACTATTTGACCGGATGTCAGTTATCTCGACCAAAGCAGGTTGGTGGGTTTGACCAACTGTGGACTCGACTTTCTTCGTGCCCCCTTTCGGAGAGCATCGAATTGGTTCTACAGTTCGGACTCCTGTCACGGTTTTGAATCTAATCTCACAAAGTGCAATGTAAGACTGATAAACACCAAAGAGTCCAATCTGGCAAATCATTTTGAAAAATCGATTTTGAATCAAATAATGCCAAAATTGGATTACTTTGCTAGATTACAGAGTCGCCACCTAAATATTTTGTTTTTGGGAAATTTAGGAAACCCTGACTCGTGCCAAAAGGCCACGTGTCCGTCATCACCAAAGTTACCTCGGCTCAGGAACTTGGGTACGAAAGGGGAAGGTCAT